ACGACGACGACGACGACGACGACGACGACGACGACGACGACGACGACTGCTCCGCGGACGACCTGTGCGGCGGTCGCCCGAGGCTCAGGGGAGAAAAATGATGCCCATACCGCGATACTGCTGCTCGTCCCAGAGAGCCCTCGTCGCTACGGCTGGATTCTCTTTGAAGCTCTGGTCCGACGGCACCTCGGAAGAGGTCTGGGCAGTAGCGGCGGCCTTGTAACTGTTGTTGGGTTTGGGCCCGCCGTAGCGGCGCACAGCGCTTGAGCGGGGCCTGCAGCAGAGAGGACCACCACTACGTCGGCTTGAACGACCACGAGAACCTCGGAGAACTTCCGAGCACCGTCGAAAGCTTCCGAGGGTAGACGACGACCACAGCGACCATGACCACGACGACGACTGCGATCGTTGCGTGCTTTCCGACCCCGAGCCAGACCTCTGGGCCAGTTTTGGAGGTCGCCGTGGCTATCGTAGCGGGGGGAGGAGGAGGAGGAGGAGGAGGAGGAGGAGGAGGAGGAGGAGGAGGAGGAGCAGGAGCAGGAGCAGGAGCAGGAGGAGCAGGAGGAGCAGGAGGAGCAGGAGGAGGAGGAGGAGGAGGCGGAGGCGGAGGAGGAGGAGGAGGAGGCGGAGGCGGAGGAGGAGGAGAAGGAGGAGGAGGAGGAGGAGGAGGCGGAGGCGGAGGCGGAGGATAGTTAGGAGGAGGAGTATGAGGCGGAGGCCACAAATCGGGGTATGCCCCTTTCCCAGCCCTCCCTGCCCTTCCCTCGCCTCTCTGCGATGTGGCCGTGGCCCATAACGTACCACATAGCGATAGAGTGCTGCCCATGTCATGTCCAACAGGGGCATTCATGCGTTGTTCGGTTATGTCGGAAAGTAGAGCATATACATTACTAGTGGCGGGCGGTTTTTCAATCCCTGGACTTCTTTGAGGGTCGGGGACGACGTCGAGGTGGTGTGGAGTATACTGGTTACCCCGTTTTCCCGGGGAAACAACGAAACATGTATACACCAGGATTCCGCGTACACCAGGATCTGTTTTCTTGTGCGAGTTTCAGTGCCGGGCCGGAAACAGCGTCGGTGTATTGAGTTCGGCTCTTTTATCATTGGTCCCGTCCGTCGACCGCGGCGACCACGACGACGACCACCGCGACGACGACGACCACCACAACGGCGACGACGTCCGCCGTGCCTCGCCGCGGCGGCCGCCGCCCCAGCCCCCGCGCGGCGCCGCCCGCCGGCGCGGGCAGGCGCCGCCCGTGGCGGGCACTCGGCAAGGGGGGCCCGGATGCTTCCGTGTCCGCCGCCTGCATCATGATGGGGAGCGGCAGATGGGCTTGGCATCGCTCGGACGTGTGCATTTTTCGTTCGGCGAGGACCATCGAGGAGCATCCTCGATCACTTGGCGAAAAAACCACGCACGAAACCGAAAAAAGCACAGAGAAAGGACGTCCGAGCGATGGCGAGAGGGGGCCCGGATGCTTCCGTGCCCGCCGCCTGCATCATGATGGGGAGCGGCAGACGAGGGGGGGGGGGGGCGAGGGCTGCCGAGAAGGGGGGGGCCCTTTGGGGCCCCCCAGGTGCCCGCAGGGTCCGAGAAGGGCAGGTTTCTCCCCCCCACCTCACCCACCCTGGTTATCGCCCCACTTATTTTGCGCCCAGGTGCGTGCAGGCACCATCTCTCGTGGTCGCCACGCAGGACGAGGCTTGGCATCGCTCGGACGTGTGCACCTTGTGCTTCGGCGAGGACCATGAAAGGAGCAGCCTGGACCATCGAGCAGACGAAAATGCGCACGAGACCGACAGATGCACAGGGAGTGGACGTCCGAGCGATGGCAAGATTGGGCGCCCGAGTTATCCGGGGTAACTCGGGTCCGGGGTAGCGCGGGCTTGGATTCCCGAAAAACGAACCCGAGTTAGCCCTGACCCGAATTACCCCTGATGATTTGGGGCTCTGGACGCCCGAATTATCCGGGGTAACTCGGGTTCGGAATCCCGAAAAGCGAACCCGAGATAGCCCTGACCCGAGTTACCCCTGATGATTCGGGGCTCTGACAAGATGAGGCAGCCCCTCTGCGCCCGCCACGCCCAGCGCGTTCCCCGCCGGGGCCCCGCCTCTCGACTCCAGCTGGCGCGCCGCGGCGAGGCCCGCAGCCGCTCGAGCTCCGCCCGCCCCGCCCCGCCGCGCCCATTCGGCTCCTCTCGACGGTGGACACTCGATCCATTCCCTTGCTGCTGCCCCCAAGTCTTAGGTCGGGCCTGTCCCCCTACAGGGGGCTTTTCGACGAAAAATAAGAAATACACCCAAAATAGTATAGAAATTGTCTGGGGACAATTTTTTGAGTATGTTTTGGCCTTTTTGGGGCATTGTTGGGGTATTTTTTATTTTTCGTCGAAAATCCCCCTGTAGGGGTACAGGCCCGACATAGCCCAAGTCGTAGGAAAATTCTGAAGGCCTCGCAGGGCGCGCAAGAGTTGCATTATCTAGCCTGCACGGCCGCCCCGTCAGACGTGGGGCGGCGTTCGCACCGCGATGCTCTGGCGTAAATCCCACGCGATCCGACGTGAATCCCACGGGATCCGACGTGAACCCAACGTACCGCCGACGTGGGTCCGACGTCAATTGGGTCTCAAGTGCGGGGCGAATCGTCTCAGGATTCTTGTCATAACTCGAGAAGCGGCCCCCCAGCGGTGGTGGTGGGATAGATCCCCGCCTCGCATTGGCCCTTCACGCGTTCATCGCAGACAGGGGCCTTGCAGCCCGCTTCCCCCAAGAACGTGCGGTCTCTTTGTCCGGGGCCTACAGCCGATATATCGGCGACGTAACCCCGATTCCAGCTCCATGTCTGGCCCCTCTGGGCTGGTCCTCCCCCGAGCGTTCCCCCCTCGAGGAAGGCCCTGACTTCCCGACGATCTGTTTCGTGGGCTCCTGGGGGGGGTTTTCGCTCCTCCGGATGCCTCCCAACGGGATGCCCGCATCGCCCCGATCGGCCGCAGGTGGCCCGAGCCATGGCCCGAAAGCTTGCTTTGCTCGCGCCGTGGGAGAATGGAAGAAGAGAACAGTGCACTAACATGAATTTCCGGAGCTCCGCCTGGGTTTCCTGAGTCGATTCTGGACCTTCCCGGCGCCTCGGGCGCCGCCCCTGGCGCGCTCCGCACGCGAGGGGGTGGGGCCCGATCGCGGCCTTGCCAGTTCAAGTGTACGTGCTTCATGCTTCTGAGGAAGGCGAAGGAAAGTGGAAGGAGCAGCACAGGAAAGCGCCACCTGCCTGCATCAATTGCAAAGCCTCCATCCTGCTGAGTCTCGTCGAGCAGGGTGGCGTAGATGAGGGGGAGGAGGGGGGATCCCCAGAGTTCTGGTGGACTTCTTGAATCAGACTGAGGGGGCCGAACGGTCTTGCACTGCCCGTGGATGTGTGGCTGAAGTGAAGCTCTGCCTTGCGGAGTCATGTTCTTCTCCGTCCTCGTGTTGCCGGCCCCGCCCCAGGATTCCAACGCTCGACCCGCCCCACGACCCACCCCGCGACCCGGCCCGTCGGCCCGTCCCACAACCCACCCGCGACGCGCGTCCCGCGACCCACCTGCGACCCACCTGCGACCCGGTTCGCCCGCCGACCCGCGGGACACCCTCAGAGGAGAACAAGGTACCGATACCGCGACCGTCGCCTCGGTTTCCCCCTTCTGGGCTTCGTGGGAGGCCCTCGTCGCCGCCGCTGGATTTTAGTCACAACGCATTCCGGAAAAGGTCCAGGGAGTAGCGGTATTGGTACCTTCTTGTTTTCCCAGATCCATCCGCGAACCACCCACTTTGATGTTCTGCGAGAACAATCGCCTGCGGCGGACTCGCTGTGCAACATGTGTCAACAAATCTGCACTTGCGGCGTCGCAAATTGACGATGCCCCCCGTAATTGAGGGGGCTAAGGTCGACACTTTTGATGCGTAGGGTCGAAACTGAACCAGTCCATGTGCGCGAGTGTGGCGCGGGGTCAATTCCTCTCTACCTCCCCCGTACTTCAAATGGCTCAAGATAATGGTCGCAAGCAGCCAGTGCAACAAGTCTTCAATTCCAGTGTGGATTGCCAACTACTCCTCACCTATGATGTGTCGTGCCGCACCTGTCGCGTGGCTAATTCTCGTTGCCTTGAAGGTGGACGCCCGCCGAGTGTCGGCGGAGTTGGCGAACATGGCCGTCGAGCGGAGTGAACTCGAAGCAGAGAGGACGTGTGATGACGCTTGCGTTGCCAAAGCGAAGAGTCATCTTTACACTGTGACCCAGTCTATGCGATACCTTTCGGACTATCAGGAGACCGCCTCCTTCTGGCAGAAAGTTTGGACCTGGAAGAAGAACCAGGATATATTTGGGGGCTCGCTGAAAGACATGGAGTTTCTAACCAGCGCTCTTGATGATTCCGAGGAGATGAGTGCGTTTGTCGAGCAGCCGGTGGAAGAGATCATAGACGAGCTCCCAGCAGGCGCGATGCCGATAATGGTGGAGGTTTGGGACCAGGACATGGCATCAGGTGAATTTGTGGGCGAAGTTGGTGCGCCCATGAAGCTTGGCACGTTTTCGTACGACTTGCCGCTGCGCTCGAACCCGAGCCGCAGCTCGAAAACCCACGCGATGGCCTCAAAAGGGTCGCTGGGATCGGTCGCCTTTGACACTAGCGTCAGCATCGAGCGCAGCAACCCCCCGAAGGCATGCTCCACCGATGCGAGCAAGATGTGTGCTGATGTGACGGTGATGGTCACTTGCAAGAGCGCGTCCAACCTTGTGAACACCGACACGCTTAGCCTTACGGATCCGTATTGCAAGGTGCGCGTGAAGCAGGACGAGGACCACCCCTCCACGAAAGACAAGACGCCCTACATCTAGAGGATCACAACATGGCATAAGCACGAGCCTTCGGGTGTCCGCGCGGATTTCTCGAATCGGTGCTGGACCCCCGCGGGGATCCCAGCGCCGATCCAAGACATCTGCGCGGACCCCCGGTAGCTTGCGCTTATGCAACCGTTTGTTCCCCGATGCATCAGCGACAACCTCAATCCGACGTGGGGGACGTCGAACGCGTTCACCCATCGCTGGGAGGTGGAGCTGGTGTCGCCCCAGGTCGAGGACGAGGAGGAGGAGCCGCCCGTGGCGGAGTTTGTGCCCCTGACGTGGGACCGCATGACGAGCGCAGAGCAGATGGTGTCGAACATGCAGTTCTTCATCCAGGCCAAGTTCCTCGGCGGCAGGCATCGAGGAGCAACAATCGGGGGTGGACAGACCTACCCTGACACGTCGATTAAGGAATTGGCCGTTTTCGGTTCGCGAGAGTGCGTCGCGGCCGTCATTTTTGCCGGTCCAGGTCCGTCGGTTTCGGTTCCAGGCCGTTTTCACTAAGGGGAGGTTTACTAAAGGGAGGTTTGTCCACCGCCGAAACAAGCTGCGGCAGCAGGACTTCTCGGAGGTCCGCGCCGACCTCTTGGATCGATGTTGCCCCCCCCCCGCCCGGGCCGCGCCAGGGAGGGCGGCCCAGCGCCAGTCCGAGAAGCCCGCACGGACCTCCGAGAACTCTCATCCGGCTGCCTCCGGCAACTCCGCAACCGTGCCAGCTCGGGAGCCTCGAGACGTGGGTCCATGCAGACGGGGGTCAGCCAGGGCACCGGATCCTGCAGGATCCTGCGAAGACCCCTTCTGGCCGACCCGGGTCAGCGAGCCGCTCGTGGCCGCGAGGCGGCCGCGCATGTCGGTTGACCCAGGTTTGCGAAGACCTGCGCTGCAGTTAATTTTTCCTGCACTGCAGCTTTTGGTCTCCTGCTGACCCGGGTCTGGATTGACCCGGGTCAGAAGATCCCCGACCAGCGCAGTGTTCTGGGTGGCAAGGGGGCTTGTTCGGGGCGCCTCCTTGCAGGCCGTCTTGAAATCCCCCCGGGCCGCCTTGAGGCCCGCGAGGCCTGCGTCGGGGCGAAGTTACGCAATCATGGGGGCCTCGGGGCCTCGAGAGCGCGAGTGAGCGGGGTCAGAAAATTACGGAAACCCTACTAGACCGCGCTTGCGTTTTAGCACGCCCAAACGTGCCAGTGGGCGCGGCGGCGGATTTACGTGGCTTTTTGCTTCTGCGAGGAAGTGCGAGGACGCGGGCGCATCACCCAGCGCGGTGCAGCAAAAGGTCCGGCAATCCCGTAGCCTTGAGACCTAAGCGTCGCAGCTTTTTCACGCCAGGCGTTTTCGCCCAATCCGGGGCCCCAGGACCATCACATATCGATATGGCTTGATCTCGTTGCGGAAAGATGGGGTTTTGGACTCCAATTTGATGTTTCACGCTGTTGCACTTTGTCGCAGCGTCAGGTCGCAGGGAAGATCCCAAATCGCTCCAGTGCGGACCGGAACTTTCGCAGAGCGCTCCAGAGCAGGCGCGGTGCCCGACACATTTTCCAGACAGGCTGGCTCTCAGACATTCCCGGCTTATCCTCATCCGGATTAACCCCAATATTTTTTGCATGTTAGAAACGGTCATTGCGAGATCACCCGCCTAGACAAGTTGATTGCGGAATTCAGCGCTGGTTCATTCGACACGTGGGATTCTCAGATCGTGTTTCCCCCGGCGACATCGCTGTTCGACGTTCGCTTGCCGGGAACATGCGGCAGCGTTCTGTCGCCGATGAGAGAGACAAGCCGCGTGGGCGGCGCACGCGGAACGCCATGCCGCGCGCATTGGTGCACAGCCCCGAATTGTTCTCATTAAATTTAATTGCGTTTTGCTGAAAAGGGTTGCCACCCCTGGATATCATCCGAAAAAAAAAGACAAAATGTTGGACCTACGTTGGAGGGGGCGAACTGGGCCATCCAGGGGGTGGATGAACAAGTGGGCCGTTCATCGGGTGGATGGAAGCGCGGTGGTGCGAGAAATCACAGCTGGGATTGCGGATGGCTCGGCCGTCCACTTTCACCTCGTCCCTCAACCATCTTTGCTGGAATCAGCTCCTGCCAGCTAGACAGCCCTGGGCCCTCTCGACTGTCTCCACTTCTCTTGCGTATTTAATGGTCCCACTGGCTTTCGATCTCTTCTCCCTTCATGTTTTCTCAGTGTCCTCCACACCTGTACTGCTGCCCTTCTAGACGCGGTGCACTCGCCTCGACGTTGGGTTGTCAAAAAAAGGGGGAGGAGGAGGGGAGGAGGAGGAGAAGGAGGAGAAGGAGGAGGAGGGAGAGGTGATAATGGGATGAATGAGGGAGGAGGAGGAAAAGGAGGTTCATAAGGATGAGCATGGAGGACGATGAGGGAGGAGGGCGGGAGCAGGATTGCGGAGGATGATGGAGGAGGAAGGAGGGGGGGCGGAAGGATGAGGACATGTGAGGAGGAGGAGGAGGAGGAGGAGGAGGACGACGACGACGCGGGGCGAAAAGGGAGAAAAGGGACGACGAGGTGCGGGGCGAGAGGGCAGGAATGCTGGCGGGAGGGAGGGATGGAGGGAGGCATGGGAGCAGGAGAAGGGGAGGGAGAGGCGGGGTGGTTTGGGATCGGTGCAAGGGCGCCCTGGGTCGCGGGAGCCAAGGCGGCCAGGCGCGCGAGTACCCTTCCCCCGAGGCGCGGAACGCCTTTCCGAGGGAGCTCTGGGAAGGGGTTCCATGAGCCGGGTGGATGGCCCACTTGGGGCCTCGGAGCATCAGCCGGACGGATGGCCCACTTGGGGCCCTGGACCAGTGCAGGGGTACTGGGTGCCCCGGTGTGATGTTCCATGAGCCGGGTGGATGGCCCACTTGGGGCCTGGGGGCGGCGAGGGGGTTGCGCGCAGGGCGTGCGAGGGTCGGGGGCGTGCATGAGCCGGATGGATGGCCCACTTGGGGCCTCGGGGGGGGCGGCCTCCAGGAGCCGGGTGGATGGCCCACTTGGGGCCTCGGAGCATCAGCCGGACGGATGGCCCACTTGGGGCCTGCATTCGGCCTCCGCGGAACAGCGTTCGGGAAGGGCTGCGCGCCTTCCCGGAACAGCGTTCGGGAAGGGCTGGCGGCGGAGGGAATGGGGAGGGGTGGGAGCGGGAGAGCACGAGGTTGGAAGAAAGGGGCAAATGGAGGGAGGGAAGGGGAAGGGGACGGGGGAAGGCGAAATAGGACAGGGGAGCTGGGGGAAGGGAGGGGGAGGGGGGGGGGAGGGATGAGGGAGGCAGAGTGCGAGAGAAAATGGGCGCGGTTGGCAGATGTAAGTAGCGGGCTAGCATCAGTGAGGCGCTGAACGACACAGGTGTGGGACGCGGGGCGACGACGACGACGACGACGACGACGACGACGACGCGGGGCGAAAAGGGGAGTGAAGGGAGAAAAGGGGAGGCGGCGGCGGAGGGGGCAAGGGGCTGCGCGGTGGGCGGAGGCAGGGGGAGGGCCAGCACGGGAGCGTGCACGGGGCAGACCAGGCGAAGTGGCCACTTCGGCGCCACAGAAAGGGCGCGGCGGTCGACGGGCACACCTAGGACGAGAAGGAGAGAGGGTGGCAGAACAGCAATTCCAAGGCTGCCCCTCGCAGACAATTTGGCTTCACTCGTGCGGCCTGATCCCGCTTCGAGGTGTCTCCATGTCGACGCGGTAGCGGGCCGTGGGCCGAGGCGACCGAACTGCTCCGAACGCTGGGCGGAAAGGCGTTCCAGAAATCTTGGAACGCCTCCCCGAAAGCCGTTCCATGCACCCTTTCGACGGCCCACCTTCTGGATGGCCCTGTTCGCCCCGCCTAACTACGCGCGGATTGGTTTGATCGGCGCTGGGCCCACCCCGTGGCGCGCCGGGGGCCCAGCGCCGATCCAAAAAATACTCTCGCGGAGCTCCTGTTCTTTGTTTTGATGTAGCTGTGTCCTGTTTATCCCTATAGGTCGGGCGGCGAACTATATACGTATTCACTGCCGCTGGTCAGGCGCCCATGTTGAGCTCAGGTGCAGCGCGTGCGTCCCCAAAGCTTGGCCAGGGAAGCGTCACCTACACCGCTGCTGGGCTTAACTCGGGCATGTCCCTCAACAGGAGGAACAATCATCAAAAGTTAAACAATTGTCTGGGTACGATGTTCCGATTTGTTTTTTAGTTTTCAATGCTTGTTGATTGTTTTTATGCACAATCCGCCTGTGCGGGGACATGCCCGCCCCAATGCTGGGTCCAGGATTGGCATGGCAGCGGTGGATATGTGTGAAAGAGCCCTTTCCTGCAGACTCTGGGAACGTGGGGGGGGTCGAACCGTCCCCCCCCTGAAGTGCAGAAGTGCAAGGGGGCGTGGGGGGGTCGAACCGCCTGGGGGGATCCCGCCGAACCGGAAGGGGCCTCCCCTCCATCTGAACTGAAGAAGGGGGTTTCGAACCGGAGGGGGGCCTTGTTATTCGAATGTTATCAAGGGTGGATCGAGCCTCATTCGAATGTTATCAAGGGTGGATCGAGTTCTGTAACAGCTGGACCGATCCCGAATCTGATTCAAGTAGAGCTGGATCTAGCCATAGTAGGATGCTATTGGAGATGGTCGAGCTTCAGTAGGGTCTCATATGAGCTGGGTCCAGATATAGTAGAATTACATTCGAGCTTGCTGGATCGAGTCCGGCTAGGATGCCAGTAAAGTTGGGTCCAGCTATAGTCGGGTTGCATTAAGGCTGGCTCGGGCCCGATTGTGGAGCCAGATGCAGCTATAGTAGGGTTGCATCAGAGATGGACCGGGCTTGACAAGGATGCAAGTAAAGTTATATCCAGAAGTCGTAAGATTTGTTTGATTTGGATTGATCATCCATCTGATTATATTGCGAAGGCCTTGCGGGTGGTACCGCCGACCCTGAAGGGAAGCGACGACGACGACAACGGCGGCGACGACGACGCTGACGTGGGCAAGAGTCCTCAAGGATGCTTCTTGGGGTCTCTTCGGACGGCTCTCGGGGGCCTCTGTCAGGGGAGGATTGTTTGAGCCTCTTGGGGTTCTTTTGGGAGCTTCTTGGGAGCCTCTTGGGGGCCTCGTGTGGCTTCCTGGAGACCTCTTGTGGGCTCCGAGGAGCCTCTCGAGGCCGAGGGCTCGAAATCTCCGTTCAGGTCTCCCGTCAGGGCACGCTCTTGGAGCCGTCTTAGGGGCCTCTTGGACCGTCTTAAAGGCGTTTCGGGTTGTTTTTGCGTCGTCTTGGGCTGTTTTTGGGCCCTCTTGGAGGCCTCGCCGTCTCGGGGCGATCTCGGAAGCCTCTTGCGCCGTCTTGGAGCGGCGGGAAGTGTAAAAGGCGAGAACGCCCAAATCTTTTTCGCATTACAAAAGCATCGAACAGTCGATGAACTCGGCCTCTTGGGGCCTTCTCGGGAGTGCTCTTGGAGGCTTCTTGGGGCGTCCTAGAGGCCTCCGGGGCAGTCTGGAGGGCGTGAAAGCGTGTTGGACCGATCATTTAGCTATTGGGGACCCCTTGGACCGTCTCGGGGGCCTCTTGGGGCACTCTTCGCCTGCCTTGGTCCTTCGTGAGGCCCCGGGACCCACAGGGCGACCCCCCCCCGCGACCCCCCCGGTATCCATGAGACCCCCCGCGCAACACGGGGAAGGAGCTTTCCTTCGACTCGAGTACGATGTTGCTAGATGTTTCTCTCGCTGACAAGCTTGAGGAGAAGTGCGCAGGGAAAACGGACGACGGAGACGACGGCTGACGTAGACGACGACTCGAACAGTTAAGCCTCTCACATACGCCGACAGGGTCGGCGGAGTAAGGGGAGAGGGGGCGGTTCGAATCCACCTCCCCCTGGACAGCGGGGGGGAGGGCCTTGGACGGGGGGGCGGTGCTTCAAATGCTTTAGGGCGCCACTTCCCTTGGTTCCGCCACGTCCATTTTGTTTGTGTTCCGAGCGTGCGTCCACGACACGCCATTTGTCATATGTATGGAGCGCATCGCCCTATCTAGAGAAGGTCTGCAGGCACCTCGCGGAGCTGTCCGAGGGCGGCGTGGACGGGGCGGTGGTGCGGGAGGTGGCCGCGGGCACGGAGGACGAGGAATACCACCAGCCTGGAACGTATCCCTATCCGTGTGGTTGGCATCACCTTAGCCCGATGCCGATCTCAAGGGTTCTCAGTTTCTGAGGGCGCGCCCCTAAGACTGTCGTCGCCTTTGGGCTCGTCAATCTCAGGGATAGGGATGGGGCCGAGGCTGGCTAGAGGAGCTGAAGGCCAGCCTGGCGAAGGTCGAGGGCCAGATCGGGGCGAGCGACGGCAGCCTCGCCGAGGCAGGCGGGCGTGAAAACACACGGGCGACGGAAGAGCGCAGGGTCGATTGCGCGGATCTTGGCGCGTAAGCTTTCCGCGTGAGGTCGCGCGTGGGATTAAGTCGGGCATGTCCCTCGACAGGAAGAATATGCAAGGATAGTCAAACATAGTCTGGTGACGATCTTTTCGTGTTATACTAATCATGCAACGAGTATCGTTGGACTAAGTTGTGCTTTTCGTTCGGAATCCGCCTGTCGGAGGACGTGCCCGACCTCAGCGTGAGTGCTTGTCCGGAGGTCCGAGATGTCTCAGCAGTGGTTCTGGCCAGCAGGAGGCGCGGGCGAGGTCCGAGGGTATGGGTTCGGCAAGGTTCTTTGTTCGGCGTCGGCCTCCGGGGGCCGCTTCCGGCCCCCAGGACTGTCAGACACGGATGCGAAGCGAAGCAGCGCGCCAGAGGGGCCTCGGGAGGTGTCCGGGGACCAATTTTCAGCGGACCTGGCTTCGTCTCGCCCGACCGATCTTCTCGGGCCCCAGCCAGGCCGGGCCCCCTGGCCTCGGCATCGCTCGGACGTGCGCATCTTTCCTTCGGCGAGGACCATCGAGGAGCACCTTTTTGATTGTTTCGCGAAACACCCCCACGCACGAAACCGAAAAAAACACAGGGGATGGACGTCCGAGCGGTGGCCAGTGGCCGCCTCCAAGTAGGGGCCCTCTTCTCCGCGGGGTGTGCCACGGTGGCGGCCGGGCCGCGCAGGCCCTCGAGGCATGAGGTCGCCGCGTCTTCTCGCGCACGACTCGCTCTCGTGGTGGAGCCTGCTTCCCCTTCCCCCCCCCTCCTCCTCCTCCTCCTCCTCCTCCTCCTCCTCCTCCTCCTCCTCCTCGCCCTCCTCCTCCTCCTCCTCCTCCTTCTCCTCCGCCTCCTCGCTCCCCGCGCTGCGCGGCGACTTCCCGCAGCTGTGGAAGGAGCTGCTGCGTTCCGGGTGCTCCAAGTTTCCCCTCGGGTGCACCTCGCGCACGTGTTCTCAGGGGTGCTCCAAGGTTCCCCTCAGGGTGCTCCAAGTTTCCCCGCAGGTGGGGCACAAAGAAACAGACAAACACACAAAACAGAAAAACAAAACACAGTTTTTTTCTTTTTCTTTTTTGCGTTTTTATTTTTTCTTTTTCCCACAGATTTTTCCAGGCCTCCTGGAGTCCTGGGTGGGGTCGGAGAGATGGGGTCGGAGAATCGCGCCGCATCGGCGATGCATCGTCGATGCGGCGCGGTCCGCCGACCCCATCGAATTACTCTGACCCCATCCAGGAGGCGCAAGATCGATTCTGGTGAGCCCGATCCGATTCGGTTCCGACATGTTTGAAGACCTGGTCGAAAAACAAACACATGCATGAACATTATGTTTCGGAGCCCTACGCGGACATCCTGGATCGGTGCTGGGCCCCTCTGGCGGTGCCTCCGGCGCCGCCACTGGCGCGCTCCGCGCGCCAGGGAGGGGGGTGCAGCGCCGAGCCGAGCAGTCTGCGCGGACAGCCGAAAGTTTGTGAGTGTATGCTCGTAGGCGTAGACATTGACACCAACACCAATTTCGGCGGTGTGCCTCCACCGAGGGAAGAAGATCCCGATCTCGGTGATGGTGGTAATATTCTGGCTTCCAAGGTGACCGAAAAATTACCACCAACACCGAAATCGAGGATCATCTCCCCCATGTGGAGGCAAACCCCTGAGCTGGTGTTGGTGCCAATTTCCAGGCCTCCCAATGCATGTGTTCTTGTTCTAGGCGATACGATGTGGCCCAGTGTTTGCATGGCGCTGTCGTGCGTCCTGGCGCAGCCGATCCAAGTGGATTTTTTTTATATCGTGGCGATGCAGGCCGATCTTAAGCACAAGCCGTTTCGACCCGACGTCCCGATTCGATCCTGGTTGTTTCACGCCAGTGTTTCTCCAGATGATAAGCGGGGTTCTGGCTTTCTCCCCCTCCGTGCCGCACCCGCGTTCCCGTCCTCCTCCTCTCCTCCTCCCCCTCCTCTCACGCCTCTCTCGCCTCCTCCTCACAGTTTGCCGCAGGCGTCACCAGAGGGGGTGCGCATGGAGTCGGGTCTGGAGCGCAGTCTCTATCTGTGCCGCGCTCGCAGGGCGTGGCCAGGCGTGCGGTGCGCCGGGCGTGGTCCCCCCGCGCGGCCTCTGTTAGTTGCACGCGCGCAGGGCGTGGCAGTCGTCGGCGTGCACATGGAATTCTTACCCAGGAATTCCGAAGACGAGATCCGAGCTAAGGGACCTTTAATGAGGGATATGTTCGAGAGAAGCCTTGTTAAGGAATCCTGAATGCAGAATCTTAACCAAGGAGCCCCTTTGGGATGTCCTCGACGCCAGGAGGGGTTTGCGCGCGGGGTGGTCCCCGAGCGCGGATTGCCTCCACGCCACGCGCCAGAGGGCGTGCGCACGGGGTGGTCACTGAGTGCGTTGTGTATTTGTGACACGGTCGCAGGGCGCGGCAGGCGTGGCTTTGCTCAAGCAGTGGCGAAGCGCCCTGGCTCGGCTATAGCCCTACCAAACAATGTTCTAAGAACCTTTTGTGGTTCCCACGAAATATTCTTGGAACATGTCTGGTTGGGACTGTCTTGTTTTAACACATCGGGTTTATATTCTAAGAACCTTGTATTTGTTCTTAGAACAACATTTTTGGGTTCCAAGAACATTTCGTGGTAGGACTGTAGGAATGCTGGGACGGTCGGTCCCTGCTCAAATTGCCTCGACGCCTGATGGGGTGCGCGCGAAGTGGCCCCTGAGCGCGGTCTCTATCCGTACCACGCTCTAGGGCGTGGCAGCTGTGGCGTGTCCTCGACGGGAGAGCGGGCGGGGTGCGCACGAAGTGGTCCCGAACGCTGTTTCTATCCGTGCTACGCTCGCAGGGCGTGCCGGGCAGAAAGTTTGTCCTGGGCACCAGAGGCAGGGGTGGACCACACGAGGTGGCGCGGTCTCTTCGAGTGGTTGGCGTCAGCCCTCCCGCTCCTCTCACCCCCCCCCGCTCCTTCTCAGGAGGCGTGGTAGGCGTCACCAGAGGGAGTGCACAGGGGTTGGTCCATGAGCGTGATCTCAATCCGTACCACGCTCGCAGGGCGTGGCAGGCAGGCGCGGCATGTGGTCGACACCAGAGGGGCTGTAGACGGGGTGGTCTCCGAGCGCGGTTGCCTCCGTGAAACGCTCGCCGGACCCGGCAGGCGTGGCATTTCCTCGACGCCAGAGGTCGGGGGCGGAAAAGAGGGGGGTGATGGGGGGGGGATATCTTGGCCGGGCCATGATATCTCCGCAGATTTCATGGCGCCTCTTCTTATTTCATTACGTCCCAGGCCCCCCCGCTGGGCCGCGCACATGCCGCCAGTCATGATTTGCACCCCCCCCTCTTGGACACCCCCCTCTTGGCCGCTCCCGAAGAGGGGTGCTCAAGCGGTGGCTCTGCTATCCCTCCCACTGTCGAAGGGCGCTGCAGGCGCGGCCCCTCGTCGGCATCAGAGGGGGGGCACGTGGGGGGTGGCTCATCCTATCCGGGCCACGCTCGCAGGGCCTCTTACCGCGGGGGTCCGCAGGAGGTGGGTTCCTTATCTCCTTAAGAGGGGAGGAAACACACAGACACAATTAATCGTCGATTCCCTAGAAAATATGGGAAAATATGGGAAGTGTGGGTGGGGGAGACAAAAACCTAGAAACTATGGGAAAATATTGGAAATCTTGTTATTTGTGTGTATTTATTTGTGTGTCCCAGTTCCCCTTCATATCCGTCCCACGCCCGCAGGGAGTGGCAGGCGTGGTGCGTCCTCGACGCCCAAAGGGGTGCGCAGGGAGCGGCTCTCCTCCCCGTGCCACGCTCCGAGCGCGTGGCAAGAGCCTCGCGTGAACGGGGGGCGCGTCCTCGTGCGATCTCTGGAGGCGTGTCGCAGGGTACCAGTGCGCACAAGAAGTGAAGCAAGCATGTTGGGTCCGTCGGTAGCGTAATGGATCCTCTCGGCGCATTTGGCGTCGAGGGGGGGGGGTCGGTCGCAAAGTATGGGAGCCTTGTACACCGTCTTAATTCAGTCTTCAGCGTCGAGGGGCGTTTGGTAATCGATGAGACAGCGCTGATTTGGCATCGCTTCGCGCCGGTCAGCGTCGAGTAGTAGCGTCGATTTCACGTCGATCGCCGTCGCTCAGCGTCGACTGCCGTCGGCCGACAAGATGGCAGGAGAGGCTCTCATTAGTCGCCGCCGAAGGGTTGGGCCGCTGTCGAGCCGTTCTTGGAGCCGCGGTGTCTGGCCCTCAGCTGTCCACAGGCGTGCCCAGAGCCCGCCAGCGCCGCACGCGACGTCACCGGGGGAGATGGGCGGGCCGGGTGACGGCCGTGGCGCCAAATAATTAAAAAGCGCGCCCCACGGTTTTCGGACGCGTGCGTGCGTCGAGCAGAAGGTCGACTCACGGATTGGTGTACCTCAGAATTTGCTCTTCCGGCGGATCTACACCGCATGCACACATGCTCAATGCTCGCACCTGATACGCATTTGTCGCAGTTTCCGCGGACGTTTTAGTCTGGAGTAGAGCAATTCTGTACTCGATCTTCCGCCCGAATATCCCGTGAGCATCTCTTCCGAGGCTGGGACTTGTCCATGACCCTCCGCCCGGGGGGCGCCGAGCTCCCCGGACGTTTTCGCAGGCCGCCGGCGGTGTGCTCGGCCATGTGCTCGGGGCCCCCTGGGGCCCGCAGACCCAGTCCGCCGCCGGCCCCCGGTCCCAGGACGCCCGCGCCCCGCAGGCGGCGGGCGCGCGGGCAGCGACCGCCTCGCCACTTCTGGCCCCCCAGGTCGAGGCCGAGTCCTCCGGAGAGGGCCACCTCATCCCCGGCCGCATGGGCGCCATCCACGCCGCCCGCCGCCGCCGCCGGCCACGCCCCTACCGCGGCGGCGGGCGCCACCATGGAGGTGAGAGAGGGCCCCAAACCCCCTCGCGTCGTTGCCCAGATCTGGCCTCGGGTTCTGTTCCGACGTTTCCGTCGGCTCTCGGAGGGTTCTCTCGCACCGGGATGCCTTCCTGGGGGCTGCTCCTCGTCGGGAGCGCTCCAGGGGGGGGGGCCCGGATCGGAGCTGTGGCCCGTAGGCCAGGCGTCTTCGTGTCGCACCAAAGTCACGACGGGAGGTTTCTGGCCATGTGCCAGGGGGGGCCTTGCCAGACCCCAGGGACGTCCGACAACGGCTAGGATGAGAAACCGGTCGGTATCGCTGCGGACGAGACCGGAATTCGGCCCCCGGTCGCGAGCTCCAGTAACGTCACGAACGAACAACACACACCCATACCCATAGGGAGGTCGTTGGGAGGAGGATTGGCTATGGGTATGGGTGCGGGTTGTCGGACCCTGGGCCTGGGGAACGCTCCCGTTCGAGCGGGGACCCCCATCCGACAACACGCACCCATAGCCCTCTCCGATCCCCCTACGGGTATGGATGTGTGTTGTTGGTTCGTCATAGCGAGCGATGCGTCGACGGCCTCGAAGCCCTCGCTGGGCCCCGGCGCGCCGTCCCTTCGCCCTCCGGTCGCGACCCAGGCTCGGCGCGCCCGAGCTCCGCTGCCGAAGAGCTCTGGCAGCTGAGGGTCTGTAAAACGACGCGAAGATCGGGACAACATCGGATCGGGAGAACTCGAAGTCTCTGAGAATCGGCGGGTTTGGAGGACGGATTGGGTGCCGCGGCCGCTCCAGAGCGTTCCGGAACGCTCTGAGAGCGCTCCGGAACGCTCTGGAGCGATTTATGCCGATCCTAGCCCTGTTTTAGTCTGGGGTCGAGACTTCTGGGGTCCACGCTGCGAAGCAGTCGCGGTGTCGTCGGGGGTCCTGCCAGCCCGAATTGTCGCCTCGTCCCCAAGCTTGGCATCGCCGTACCTCGGTGCCGATCTCGCGCCCTCTATTTCCAAGGGCGCCCTTGCGGGCGCGAAGTGATTCGCGCTTCGCGCTTCGGCTCCGATTCCTCCTCATCCTCTTCTTCTCCCCTGGGAGGCGGCGCGAGAGCGCGAAGTTGTTCGCACTTCGCGCTTCGCGCAGCGCGACGCGCGAAGTTGGGAGCCCTTTGTCTATTCCTGAGGGCACATCCCCAAGACTGCCATCGCCTTTGGGCCTCTCGGTTTTGGAGGTAGGGGCAGCCTCGAGGCTGGTTGGGGCCTGCGGTTTTGGCAGAAGTTGCCACACCGGCCCAGGGCCTCGGCATCGCTCGGACGCGTGCATTTTCTTCCTCGGCGAGAACCATCGAGGACCATCCTGGACCATCGAGCAACAAAAACACGCACGAAACCAAAAAATGCACGGGAAATGGACGTCCGAGCGATGGCCCAGGCCGTCCCCAGGGCCGCGGGGGGGGGCCCTGGCAGCCTCGGGCGGCCCCCGTCGACCGCCGCGGCTCCCCGCGGCCGAGAGGCGCCAGCGCGGCCTGCAGAGGCTCGGGACACCCGGTGGCCCCGAGGCCGGGACCGCCCCGGGGGCAGGGACGCTTCCGCCAGGTGCAAAACGACACGAAGATCGGGACAAAATCGGATCGGGATAATTCGAAATCTCTGAGAATCGGCGGGTTTGGAGGATGTATCGGGCGCCGCGGCCGCTCCAGAGCGTTCCGGAACGCTCTGAGAGCGCTCCGGACCGGAACGCTCTGGAGAGATGTATCCCGATCCTAGCTCTGTTTTCAGGTGGAGGCTGGCGTCCTCACGGGCATCGTGGAGGTGGAGGCGGAGGCGGGTGTCGAAGAGCAAATCATGATCACCAGAATCGGGGGTGGGCAGACCTCCTGCCCTGACACGTCGATTCGCGAATGGGCCGTTTTCGGTTCCCGAGAGGGCGTCGCGGCCGTCATTTTTGCGGGTCCAGGTCCGTCGGTTTCGGTCCCAGGCCGTTTTCATTGAAGAGAGGTTTACTAAAGGGAAGTTTGTCCACCGCCGACATAAGCTTTCGGTTGTCCGCGCGGATTTGTTGGATCGGCGCTGCCCCCAGCCCTGGCGCGCGGAGCGCGCCAGGGGCGGCGCCGGCGGCGCCGCAAGGGGAGCCCAGCGCGGATTCACGACATCCGCGCGCTGCCCAGAAAAAGTTTATGCTTATGCAGAATGTTTCTACCTCTAGGGTGGGGTGCGCTCATCTTCGTCCTGCTCTTCATCATCCTGCTCCCCATCGGCCTCTGAGAGCAGCATCACATAGCCCACCGCTCGAGGCCAGCACTGTGCCCGGCATCCCGAGCGGAGCTTCTGGCTGGATGGAGCCGGCTCCCGCGCCATGCTGGGAGGCCTCCAAGGCAGGTCGGCGCGCTGCTGCGAATGCTCCAGGTCCCTGCCGCCGTTCGCGGTCCAAGAAGGCGGCAGAAATCCACGCCATCCTGCTCGTCGACCTCGGAGGAGGGCCAGTCGAGACAGCGGCGGGTCTCCCGCCGGGCCCACATCCGACCAAAATCAGCCCTCGGACCGGAGCCCTCCCGGGGCGCATCCTGACCCGTCCCTCGAGGCGGAGGCAGCCGTGGCGACGAAAAGCCCCCGGGTCCAGGGAGGACGGAGCGGCGCCGGGGAGTGCCGCTGCTGCCTCGGCGGACACTCAGGGGCAGTGCCAGAGGGGCACACGCGACCCCCGATCGCCCATTGATCGCGGATAAGGGGCCTGATAGCCCACCCCGCCCAGGAAACGTGCGCAGTTGCAATCGTGGGCACATCGCCGATCTATTGGCAATGTATCGCCGAGTCCGGCTCGATGCTCCCCCCCCACGAGCCAGCCCCTGGTGGTTCTCGAGCCAGAACTCGGGCCGGTCGGGACCTTCCGGGCGCCGCCGGAACGCTCTCGGCGAGGCGAGTTCCGCTGGAAGGCATAGCTAACGAAAGCGTCGACCCGAACTTCGAACCTCGACACGAGCCTCGATCCTTCCCCCGTGTCGTTGCCTCTCGCCTCTGATGGGCCCATTTTCTACACCACCACCACCACCATAGGTGAGAGGGAGGAGGAGAGGGAGGAGGAGGAGGAGGAGGAGGAGGAGGAGGAGGAGGAGGAGGAGGCTCCGTAGCCATTTTGGCTCAAGGAAGCCATTTGGCCTCTTGCGGGCCAGCCGATCCCGATCGATCCATCGGGGTCGGTCGGCGCCTGCCGCCCGATCGATCGCGGTGGCAGGGCGCATCGCGCATCGGCCAGCCCCCGAGGCCGGGCTCACGCGCGCCGCGCGCCATCTTCTGCGGCAGGGGGCCACCCGTGCCTCCCTGTCCCCTGCCGCAGGCCGCGGCGCTCGTGGCCGCGCTGCGGCCCAGCGGCGGGACGCCGCGACATCGCCGAGGAGGAGGTCCAGAGAGCGCTGCACACCGCCGTGAGCGGCAGCAGAGAGCCCAGGACAGGCTCCTGCTCCGCCTGCGGGCAGCGGCCGAGCGCCTGGCCGCCCACCACTCTGCCCAGCCAGCGATGGCCCGAGACGGGAAGGGCAGAGGCAGTGGTGGCCGAGGCGGCAAGGGCCAGGCCCAGGAGGAAGCAACACCGCCAGCAGCGCCCCCATGGCGCCAGGAGAGGTGGCGTGGTGCTGGATGGCAAGAGCAGCGTTGGCATGCGGAGCCAGCAGGCGAGGACCCGCCCTGGCGCAGACCGCCATCACGGCCGCGGCGCTCTGGCCAGGCCAGCCCTCGCCAATGGCAGCCGCAGCAGCAGCAGCAGCAGCAGCAGCCCAGCCAGCCCCCCTGGCAGCAGCAGCAGCAGCAGCAGCCCAGGGCGGGTAAAGGCGGCCAGGCCAGCTCCAGCAAAGCGGACCAGCGGGCCCAAAAAGTCATTGACTCTGTGGCAGCCTGCACGCTGGACGAGGCCACCTCCCACCCAAAGTGGCAGGCGCCCCCAGCCGACCGCGCAGGCATCCAGAAGTTTCTGAGCAGCGCTGACCAGAGGCTGAGGAAGCTCGGCGACCTGGTCATTGCCAAGCAGGCCGCGGGCGACAACACGAAGGAGCAGTTGATGGAAATCTCGGTCATCAAATATCAGAAGCTGGTCACGAGGAGGCCGAATGACCAGCTACAGGTGCTCAGCAAAAGGCGCAAGGCCCTCAAACTCGAAGTCATCGCCCTCGAGGCCAAGACGGACGAGTTGCGGGGCGACCTCAAGGCCAAGCAGCAGGAGTTGAGGCAGGTCGAGTCCAACGTCGCCGACGTGCGGGCCGTGCTCGCCGACGGCGGCGCGGCGGACGACGAGGGCGACTGGGACGCGGACGGGTTTGGCTTGGCGCCGAGCTGGGATACTTTCCACAAGGCCGTGATCGATAGGCGCCTGAACAGCGAAGCACCTGGTGACGGACTTCCAGCTTGGCCAGCGGGAGTGGTGGGGCGCTCGCCGCGCTCAAGAGCCAGCTCGGCAGGCAGCGCAACCAGAGGATTCGCCGATCAGGTGGCTAAGGCGAATGCGGAGCGGGCCCGCCAACAGCAGCGCCATGCCGAAGCCGAGCAGGAGTTTGCTGCCGAGCTGGCGGAAGTCAGGAGGGTCGCCCGCGAGCAGGCACTCCGCCACAACGCCGAGCAGGCGAAGCTCAGGCTGGCCCTGAAGGAGGAGTCAGAGCAGCTGCAGCGCACCACCGTAGCGGAGAGCGCAGCCCAGCAGCAGCAGCAGCAACACAAGGCTCTCCGCCACGAGATCAAGAAGCAACAAGCCGAGCAGCTCGAGTTCGCGATGCAGATGGAGGCCAGGATAATCAGCCATGACGCAGCTTTCAGTCAAGTCAAGGCTGAGGCCGAGGCGGCGACCCAACGTGCAAATCACCTGCGAGAGCAGCTTGAGTGTGCCCGCGCGGAGCACCGAGCGCAGCCGCAGCCCCAGGACAGGGTCTACCAAGACCTACTGCGGGCAAGCGCCGAGGCGCAAGAGGCATTGCGACAGGCCCAGCACGAGAGCGCCCAAGCGACAGCTGCAGCTGGCACTCTCAAGCAGCAGCTCATCAGGCAGGAGCTGGTCATGGAAGAGAAGCTACAGGAGGCCAAGAAGGACCACGCCCTTGAGCTAGAAGCTGCCGCCGAATCAGCCAGGGTCCAGGCAACTGCCCAGGCCCAAGTGGTTGCCAATGCCAAGGGAAAAAGAGCCCTCCCGCCGGCAGAAGCGGCCAGGCTGCAAGGAATCGCCCAGACAGCAGCACGGCAGCAGGATCGGCTCAAGCAGACCAAAAGCGAGCTCGAGGCAGCTGAAGCCCGCATGCACGAGCTCCAGCAGTGCTCCAAGCTTGAGGCGGGCGCTGCGCAGCGTGCAGTACAGGTCGCTTACCACGGAGCAGCGGAGCTGAGAAGCACCAACGAGGAGCGGCAGATCCCGCACGAGGTGCAGGCATTGCAGTTCGCCCTGCTAGGGACCAGAGCAGAGGACGAGGAGATTGCGAAGGCCGGCCTGAAGGACAAGGAGGCAATGCGGGCGGAGCTCGAAGGCAGTGCTGAGCGAATAAGGTCGAGTCTCACCCGCCAAATCATGATAGAAGAAGCGAGCGCACATGATTTGCAGCTGCACACAGAGAGCCTGCGTCAGGAACTGAACAGCTACGCGGTGCAACTGAGCGAGCAGAGGTCCAACGCAGCGGTGCAGGAGCAGGCGCTGGAGGAGGAGCTCGCCCAAGCCCCCACCTTCAGGATCGCCAGCATGGAGGAGGCCTCCGCCATGGAAGACCTTGCCAGCCAGCAGAGGACGGGCAGGGAGGAGGCCATTCACCTCGCGCTGCAAGAAAGCCTCCAGCGCTCCCACACGCTACACACCGAGCTCGACGCCATCGCAAAGAAGGAGAAGCAGGGCGCGTCGGAGACAGAGGAGTTAAAGCTGAGAATGCAGAGCCTGGAAGCCATTGCAGCCAGTAGGGAACGTGAACGCAAAGCCATGGTCAACCTGTACGCCGAGATGAGGCAATACGGGCAGGAGGGCTACGACTTCACCAAGAGGGCAGCTCATCACCTCGTCCAAGGGGGCCACCCCCCAACGTCCCAAGAGTCAATGGACGACTACCAGGAGGCCGCCGACCTGCACGAGAAAACCAGAGGAGCAGCCGAGGCAGCTACCGCCCCAGCGGAGCCCCCCGTTGCGACCACTCTCCCAACTGGTGCAGCCGAGGAGCGCCCAGCCAATAGGGGCCGTAGGCAGGGCAGCTCCTCGCCTCGGAGGCCAGCATCAACCAGGTCAGCCAGATCAGCAGCCCGCCAGACCGACGAAGGCGATGTACCCCCCAGAGAGCGTGACAGGTCCAGGAGCCCCGACAGGCCAGACCCGCATGAGGAGGCAGAAAGATACGAGCGTGAACAAGATGATATGCGCAGACAAGACGCTGAGGAGACAGCACAATGGGAAGCCGCACAGATGGATGAGGAGCTGGAGTCCGTAGTGAGGGGCCACGAGGCGGAGGAGATCCAAAGGCGCTACTACGAGGAGGCCCCCTTGACCCAGTTCGGCACTGTGGGCCCACAGGACTCCCAAGTGGAGGACGACTGCTCGGAGCACGCGCCGATGATCTACCCCGCCAGCTGGCCGCCCTGGAGCCAGGATCACCCGACGCCCGAGGAGGGTGAGGAGATGAGGGGAGTCACGCAGCACGAGGCAGACACAGACCTGGCATCCACTTCAAGGGCTAGCTCGGTACCAGCAGAGCAAGGCGACCCTCCTACTCCGACAGCGTCTCAGGTGATCTTCATCCCAGCATCGCCAGCGCCACTCAGCGAGGGGTCACTCACGCCCACAGTTCCATCCGGGCATGATGAGCAGCGCGGCCAAGGAGGTGGAGAGGGAGCCGACAGCTTCGTACTGACCCCTCCCCCTGCATCCCAGCAGAGCGCGGAGGCGGCAGCAGCCATCATCGAGAGGCAGTACGAGGGCATCGACATCCTAACGCGCCAGCACACCTCAGCCGCCGCCGCAGCTGCAGCCCTTGACGAGGCGTTTGGACCCGCGCCCGCATTTCCAGGAGAAGACATCAGCCAGGCCCCAGGCCCACAAGGGTCAGCGGGTAGACTCTGGAGAGTCAGGCATAGCACGTTTTCGTGGCCGAGTGGCCCGCAGGAGGGACGAGACAAGGGGCACAGCAACCCCCTCCCCTCCTGCAGCTCCTGGAGCCGAGGAGCAGGCAGCAGCAGCGCCCGCCGAACCCCCCCGATGGGGGGGGGGGGGCCTAGCAGCGCCGCCAGGCATCAGGTCATGCATGACAGAATTCACGGCC